CAAACTACTGGGGTAATTTTACAGTTATGCAAAGCTATGACCACTTAATTCTTATTTTCTAGTAAAAACCACGAAGGGATTTCAGTGAAACTTCACAGGATAGTTCGTCATTATACTTGTGAATAGTATCTTGATTTTTCGCTTGCATTTTATTGGCACAGTTACATCCCCTAATGGTCAGTTTTGAGTAAAATAAGCTTGTCACCAAAACCGCTTGGGGATTTCAGAAAAAACTTCACAGGTTTGTTCGACAACATGCCTAGTTGTGCATAGTATTTTCATTTTCCGCTGATTTTTGCATAGTTATGGCCCCTTAATGGTCAATTCTTTATTATGTAAGCTTGTCCGCGCTTCAACTTCAAAACCGATTTGGGATTTTAGTGAAACTTTTATTTTTCGCTTGATTTTTCCGCTTGATTGTTTGCACAGTTATGAATCCTAAATGGTCATCCTATTAGAAGAATTAGTTGTCAGCGCTTCATCACAAAAACCGTTGGGGGATTTACAGGATTTGTCATCATTATTATTATCTTGATTTTTCAGTAAAAAAAAACTTTCATCTCCTTCATCTCCAAAACCACTTGGGAAATTTAAGTGAACATTTAAAAAAAATTGTCTGCATGTTGTCATGATATTCCAAGTCTCTTGTGCATTTTGCGATGATTTCGTGCATGATTATCTTCGCGCAGTTATAAGCCCTTGATGATGATTGTTTTTAGTTTAATTTGGTTAGACTATTACTCCTACACTATTACTCCTACACTTCTAATGGAATTCCAGTTAAATTTTAATAGGCAGTCAGTTGTATTTAACCGATATTTTGGCATATATTTCGGATTTTATATCAAAGCTTCCTTTCGGGGGCATACGTCACTTTTAGGTGTCAGCTCTAGTTTATTTTTATTACTTATTAAATAAAATTAGTTTGTTTATTGCAAGTTAATCTTGCGATGCTACTAAAGCTGAATATTACGACATGAAAGCGAATTTTTATAAGCCGTACCTTTGTTTTTCTTGTGCTCTTTGACAAATGGAATAAGTGATTGTTAACGCCATAGTAATGAATCAGGTTGATGTTTTAAATGTAAAAAGGTCTAAAGTGAATTGAGTTGCGTTGAATGTTCCGTGATTAGCGCCAAATGATAATTTGCGGGAGATGTTTTCAAACTCAAAATATTTTACTATCATGTCATGTCTATAAATGTTGCATTCTGCTTATAACAGTACTAGATCTCATGAGCAGGCTTAATCATACAAACTTACATGTACAATATTTTCAATCTGTGCTCTGACATGTTATTTAAGTATCGTTTAAGTTAATCCACCATTTTCACTGTCAAATCTGTTATCCTTTGTAAATGTTTTCCGTTAAAAATAGTCAAGAATGCGCAGATAAGATTTCAACACTTTTCTTTATTCTTCATGGAATAATATCAATGTGATACAACAATGCGATTCTCTGAAATAAATCAAATAAACATACTAAATACTGATTACAACGCATTTAAAATAAAATACAATAAATTGTCTAAAATAATAATGTTAATACAAATCATAAATATACGATATTACCTTAAATCTATGCAAATAGTAATGTTATTTTGTATTTCCGCAAATAATTCGTTTTATAATTTAATTCACGGCAAATATTGTAAAGTTCACCATCATTTAAAAAATATTGAATTTACTATTGAGATCCATACATAATAAATAACTAGCTTACCGAGTATGATCTACTTTCCATTTGAAAACATCGATAAACAAATTACAGCAACAATTTTAAGCACTTCCGCCCAAGGCAAAACAACATATCAAAGTAACAGTTAATGACGTCACCGTAAAACAATTTAATGACGTCTTTTTACGGGAAACAAAATAAGACGTTAGGTTTGGCGGAAATAGTGAAGCTATCTTAAATTGAAAGAGTCAAACAATGTCTTTAATAGTAAATACTATCGAAAAATCAAACTATGAAAATTATATGATTATAATAAATAAATTTACAATTAAGAACTATAATTCTTACACTCCCCATCATGAAACGTTACGATTTCATCTTTATACAAACAATAGCTTATTGTAATGTATACCTTTACGATTTAGATAGAACATTCTAGTAGGCAAAGTTTAGTTATTGGTCTTATGAATTGTGACATAACTAGTTTTGACCAACAGCTTCGTGTATGCCCGTCCCGACCCACATTTATAGTTTACAACCCTGCCCAATGGCCACTGCCCCTTGGTATGTTTTCCTGAGCCACGAGTACAATATCGCCCTCACGGAATATATCTTTGTGGTCTCAGCCATTTTTGTCGAGATTGTAGGGTAGATATATATTCCCGAATCCATCGTTTCGAGAATAAATCAGCAAGATACTGAGCCTGTCTCCACCTTCTCTTTGCATATGTATCTTCTTTTCTAAAAATGCCACTTTGAATACATGTACAGTAAACTCCGCTTATAACGAACTCATTGGGGTATTCAAAATCTGTTCCTTATATCCGGAGTTCCTTGTAAGCATATAGCGAATTAGTTTCTTGTATCAGAAGTTTTTATAGCGAACAGTTTTACATATAACGAACTAATTGTTTACCGTCGTCCTCCATTTTGAAGAACATTTGTTAAAGAGAAATAACTTTTTGGTTCGTCATTGTTGTCTCCCTTATATTGATTCGATAAAGAAAAAAAGGAATAATTGCAATTTTGTTTCTTTTTAATATAATTTTTATGTATAATTTTATCTATAAGATAATTATATGATATGTACCATATATGCAATTTTGTTATTTATTAACAATACAGTATCATGCATAAAAATATTCACTTTGCTTTGAAGAAGTCGCTAATTTTAGTTTGGGAATGTTTACAACTCTTCAGGTTAAATTCAATATCCAATTAAATTTTAAAAACTGTTTCTTCAACATGTGCATAAGACTCGAAGTATGACATAATCTTGTGCAAACAATCAATAGCTTCATTTTTTGACACAACCGGCAGATCATCTAAATAGATCTCGTCTTCAGATGATTGACTGTCATCGTCATTATTTGTTCCTACTATATCCGCTACATTCGGCCAAGTTTTAATCTGTGCCGATGAAAACGAAAGAAGAAAATGCGTGATCTGTTTACGGATAGCCGATATTTTGGAGTTCGTTATAAAAGTGTAATTTTCTGTACTTTTTATGGCATTGGGACTAAAAGATGAGTTCCTTATAAGCAATAATTCCTTATAACCGTGTTCGCTGTAACCGTAATTTTTTACATCAGATAATGAAGGGTAAAATTCATTCATCGGAAGCATTATTCACAACAAAATAACATAAGAATTGCAGACTCGGTTTGATTGAGTCTGTACATGAGGGATAATGAATAAGTGCAACATCCCTCACGCCCCAAACAATTTCCACTTACTAGATTGGTTCCGTTGTCACTATATACCTTTTCCGGTAGACCTCTCCGGCTAATAAATCGTTGCAATGCGGCGATAAACGAATCTGTACTCAAACTATGAGTAACTTCTAAATGGACGGCCTTTGATGTTAAACAAGAAGAAATACACCCATATCTCTTTACTTGTGAATTTCCTGATTTTACCATCAAAGGACCAAAAAAGTCTATGCCGATAAATGAGAACGGTGGTTTATCTGGTGTGATATGCTAATCAAGTAACGGTCCCATTTGTTGCTTACAAAGCGGATTGTTCTTGCGTTTACATGGTACACAATTCCTTACTACCTGTTTGACAGCGCTATGTCCATTTATTATCCAGTATATTGTTCGTGTAGCAGCAAAAACTTGTTGTACTCCGACGTGACCTTGACTTTCGTGGTAAAAACGTATCATTAAAGTAGTTAAATGATGCCGTTTCGGTAGAATGATTGGACATTTTGTTTCATCATGGTATATAATGCGTCCTTTTGTACGTATTAAACCATCTTTAAGTATAGGATTTAATGAAGCTATCGGACTTTCACCTTTAACATTAGTTCCTTTTTGCAAGTTTATTACCTCATCGGCAAAGCATTCAATCTGAACGTATTTCACAACTGCGTGAGAAGATGTCTTAAGTTCAGACAAGGTGAGATTACCTTTTTCATCCACTACATCATGATGCAGATATCGCTGTTTGCAATAATCCTTGTATCTCAAAAACCATGCCACTGCACGTCTAAGTTTGAACCAATCAGAGTAGTATTCAATTATCTTCCCAATAGTGTCACAAGTGGTAACGTTAATAGCAATTTCTCTCTTAACCTCAACATCATCTTCACTAACTTCCGGGATAATATTACCTGAATACTTAGGCCAGTGTTCCCTACCTTTACTAAGAAATGTTGGTCCATGCAGTCAAACATCTAATTTGTCTGTTTCAGAAGCGTTGATACCTCTTGAAGCTATGTCTGCTGGATTTGAACTTGAATCAATATGGCGCCATTGATTTGGACTTGTAGTATCATGAATGATGCTAAGCCTATATTTCCGACGAACGTTTTAAATCTTCTTGAAGTATTTCTGATATATCCTAGTAGTATCATGGAATCCGTCCAAAACGTAACTTCATCTATCTTAATATCGAGTTCCTCAGCAAGACATTGATATAAGCGACAAGCGACCACAGCTCTAGATAGTTCCAGTCTCGGTATAGTTATTTGTTTTATGGGGGCTAGACGAGATGTACCCATGACGAGACAGCATGTAATATTCCCCGTGTTGTCAGTGAGTCTCAAATACGCGCATGCGCCGTAACCTACTTCCGACCCGTCACTGAAAATATGCAACTGTGCATTTATTACTGATCCAAATCCTGGTGGAAGGAAACATCGATCTATCGTGATGTCCGCCAATCGCGGCAGGAAAATAACCAACTTTGCCATTCTTCATCATAGTTGTCCGGAATTTGCTCGTCCCAGCCTAGCTTTTCTCTACACAAGTTCTGAATAATGAATTTGATTTCAGAATTATTGGCGACACAAGTCCAAGAGGGTCAAATATTGAACTTAGTGTTGATAATATCCCACGCCTCGTTGAAGGGTTACTTTTAAGTCAACCTTGTACTTAATTGTATCATTGTTTACGTCCCAAATTATACCCAATGCTTTGTCATTACATTTTTCACCAGGGGTTAAGCTGATAACCGATTTGGCAAGATCTGATTCCGGTATTGTCTTTAAAACATTTCTACTGTTACTGAGCCATTTTGTTAAGCGAAATCCTCCCAAAGACAACATTTTCTTTAAATTCATAGCCAAATCAATAGCTTCCTGCTCAGATGGGACAGACTTAAGACAGTCATCAACGTAAAAATTCTTCTCCACTGTCAGCGCAACTTCCGGTTTAAACAGATGGGAGAAATCTTTCGCTGTTCTTTTAAGTGCATACGCAGCACAACTCGGAGAAGATGTAGCACCAAATAAATGGACATTCATGCGATATTGCTTAGGAATCTTGTCCAATTCTCCATTAGGCCACCAGTGAAACCTTAAAGCATCACGATCTTCATCGATAACACAAACTTGGTGAAACGTTGCTTCAATATCTGCAATAAATGCTATTCGTTCCTGTCTAAACTTTATAAGTACACCGACTAGACTGTTCATTAAATCAGGTCCTTTCAAAAGTTGACTGTTAAGCGACATTCCTTTGTATTTAGCAGCACAATCAAACACTACACGTACTTTTCCCGGCTTGTTAACATTTCTCACGGGGTGATGCGGCAAATACCAAACCCGCTTTGTTTCTGGTACCCTGTGATCCACTTCCGAAGCATATCCATTCGCAATGTAATCATTTACAGTAGTTCTGTACATGTCATGCAAATTATTGTCACTTGACAACTTTCGCTTCAACTGCTGTAATCTGGCTTGAACAAGCGGTATATTATTTACGAATGACGAATTTCTATCACGCCAAGGGAGACCAAGCTTGTAATTACCATCCTCGCGAGTTAAAGTTGACTCCATGGATTTCATAGCATTTTTATCTTCTACAGACATGCAACTCTTCACTTGTTGTGATTTATCATTAATGTCAGTTGTCCACAAACGCTTTATTTGTTGCTGTAACAACATGTCACGTGACTCAAAGAAATTTATGTTAATATCGTTGGATACTTGCGTAGTTGGAACTGGACCACGTATAGCCCGAGTGCGTATCGCGTACGGTTCATCGCTATTTCCGAATTTCACTTCTAGCGGTATATGTACAATAGGTGAATCCGTCCCTATTAACATCATAACGTCATTAGTGTCTATTATGGAAAGCCATGGCTGTCTGATATTGTTCTTTTTCAATTTATTTAACCATTTGGATAATATATGAGTTCACTTCGACTATATATGAATTGAAAACACCTTCTTATTTAACCGGAATCCATTATATTAATTCACAGTTACAATATATGAAACCATACTGTCAGTGTATGAAACCGAGTTAGCAATATATAAGTTGTTTTTCTCAATATATGATTCCAATTCTTCAATATATGGTACCAAAGTAGCCATGTATGGAACCAGATGTCCTTATATGAAACCGAATTATCAATATATTAATTCATTTTTCAATATATGAAACCAATGTATCAATTTATGAAACCAAAGTAGAAATATATAAGTTGGTTATTACATTATATGATACCAATTCTTCAATATATGATACCAAAGTAGCCATATATGGAACCATATGTCCTTATATGAAACCGAATTATCAATATATTAATTCATTTTTACAATATATGAAACCAATAAATCAATGTATGGAACCAAAGTAGCAATATATGAGTTGGTTATTACATTATATGATACCAATTCTTCAATATATGGTACCAAAATAGCCATGTATGGAACCAGATGTCCTGATGTGAAACCGAATTATCAATATATTAATTCATTTTTACAATATATGAAACCAATTCATCAATGTATGGAACCACAGTAGCAATATATGACTTTATTATCACTTTTTATGATACCAGTTCTTCAATATATTGTACCAAAAAAGCCATATATGGAACCAGATACCCTTATATGAAACTGAATTATCAATATATTATGTCATTTTTACAATATATGAAACCAGTTTATTAATGTATGGAACCAAAGTAGCAGTATATAAGTTTATGTTACAGTCTATGATAGCAATTTTCATTATATGGAACCAAAATAGCCTATTTTCATGTCAACAAGTCAAAGGCCGAGGTCACTGGGTTCTGTTATTACAATGCATACACTTTTTCATGAAATCAATTATTATTTGACTGATTATTTTTAAACTTTGTGAGTAGATTAACCTTGATGTGTCCTACTGGCCATGCCCATTTTTTGATCAAAGGTAAAGGTCGAGATGAACTTATTTTTTAAATATGTTTTTGTCAATGGTCAGTACGACACAATAGTTTAAATTATGACATACAACTCGTACATATATAACGATACGTTTTGCCTGTCCAGCCCATTTGAAGTGAATGTGACGTTAAATTCAAATATTTCCTTATTTAGAAAATGTGCAGTATGCAATCACTGAAGCACACTGGTCTTTTGAATATTGGCGCGAAACTGTAATACCGGTGCAAGGATAGAATACAGTCTGTAAAAAAAGTCCCGTCAATATAATGACATTTTGGTTCAATATATTGCTACTTTGGTATCATATATTGAAGAACTGGTATCATATAATGTGAAAATCAACTTATATATTGCTACTTCGGTTACATACATTGATAAACTGGTTTCATATATTGTAAAATTGATTTAATATATTGATAATTCGGTTTCATATAAGGACATCTGGTTCCATACATGACTTACTTGGATCCATATATTGAAGATCTGGTATCATATAATGTGATAATCAACTTATATATTGATACTTTGGTTCAATACATGGATGAAATGGTTTCATATATTGTAAAAATGAATTAATATATTGATAATTCGGTTTCATATAAGGACATCTGGTTCCATACATTGCTACTTTGGTACCATATATTGAAGACCTGGTATCATATAATGTGATAATCGACTTATATATTGATACTTTGGTTCAATACATGGATAAAATGGTTTCATATATTGTAACAATGAAGTAATATATTGATAATTTGGTTTCATATAAGGACACCTGGTTCCATACATTGTTACTTTGGTTCCATATATTGAATAATTGGTATCATATATTGTAATAACCAACTCATATATTGCTACTTTGGTTCCATACATTGATAAAATGGTTTCATATATTGGTAAAATGAAATAATATATTGATTATTTGGTTTCATATAAGGACACCTGGTTCCATACATTGCTACTTTGGTTCCATACATTGAATAATTGGTATTACCAACTCATATAATGCTACTTTGGTTCCATATATTGATAAAATGGTTTCATATATTGTAAAAATGAATTAGTATATTGATAATTCGGTTTCATATAAGGCTATCTGGTTCCATACATGGCTACTTTGGTACCATATATTGAAGAATTGGAATCATATATTGAGAAAATCAACTTATATATTGCTAACTCGGTTTCATACACTGACAGTATGGTTTCATATATTGTAACTGTGGATTAATATAATGGATTCCGGTTAAATAAGAAGGTGTTTTCAATTCATATATAGTCGAAGTGAACTCATATATTATCCAAATGGTTACATAAATTGAAAAAGAACAATATCAGACAGCCATGGCTTTCCATAGTCTATATCTGGAATATTTATACCGGATAAGTACGGTAAGTTTCGGATATCTGCATATTTATCTGCAGATCGAGTTGATATCGGTAATGACTTTACTGGCCAGACTTTTCTTAGGGTAATACTTTCATTTCCATCGATAGGTTGAATATCTAAGTCGGCCTCTTGACCATGTATAATACCTTCACGTGAGTTTGCCGTAGACATCCGGAATGTGACAAGCTTACCGGTTATATTCAGGCTCCGTAACAATCTTTCATCACATAAGGTTTTATCGCCCTATCATCTAGCAGGGCGTATGTCTGACAAGAACTACCGTCCCCACCCCTAACTATTACAGGAATAATACCCAGACAATTTTTTACAGTAACACGACGACTGCACTGCTGTGTGGCCATTACCGGGTTTTACCCAACTATGTAAAAAAATGTGGTATTTTACATTACAATTAGTCACATTATATATTTTTTGTTTTCTACACTTGTTTGTAAAATGTTTACCTTTTAAACAATTGTAACACAATTTAAATGATCTTACCAGTTTATAACGATCATTGAGACTCATTGACTTGAACTTGTTACACAGTGATAACTCTGCACAGTTACCTGAACAACAAATGCATTTACTACTTTCATGACCGTTTTCTTCAGTATGTGTACTCAGAGTAGTAACCTTTGGTCTATCATTACTGTAATATTTGCCAGAACTGTTTCTGGTTTCTTTCTTGATAAAATCATTGTTTTTACAAAGATCATAGCTATACATGGAGTTAGCGATACGTGATTTTTCGTCTACAAATTTAGACAAATCTGAAAAGCGCGGCACTCTACCTGACTCATTTATATAATGTGCTACTTCTACCCATTTTACCCTTATATGTGTTGGGAGCCGCCTAACAATGCATCTTAAATTTTCTGTATTATCAATATCAGAGGTCAATCCTAACAGAGAAAGCGTAATTTCACATTTCTGCATCTCTAAAGATAATTTAGATAGCCCTTCAGCATCGGACGCTTTAATCTGAGCACCATTTACAAAGTTATCAATGTAAGACCTTGCAATTAAATGTGGTCTGCCAAATCTAGACAATAATATTGACCTAGCACGTTTATAACCTTCTTCCGGTTCTAACAAAACACAATCTTCTATACTAGATTTTGCCTTACCTGTACACTACTGAATGAGATAACTTAGCTTTAAATTATTGTCACTTATTCTGCTTTCAATGTTTGTTTCAAAGTTTTTGATAAATTTGCAGTATCCTTCAGGCTTCCCATCAAATGTCAATAGTTCTGGCTTCGGTTAGTTGAATCCTTTTATAATCATCAATATTCTAGCTGTCATCATTGTATCACTATTCTTACTAACGTCGGTGGTTCTACTCGGGTGCACGTTCGTGCCTGAAATAATGAACAGAAGGGCACCTGAGGTCTTCCTCCACCAGTTAAGCTGGAACGTCGCCATATGACCTTCACTGTGTCGGTGTGACGTAAAAAACAAACAAACAAAGTATCACTATTATTGTCAAATTAATCATAAAATATTTGTTTTGCAATTCAAAGCCGTATATGTTATTACCATGATTTTAAGTTACAAGTCTAAGTATTATTATTAAAAAACACAGTTTTGACAGTGACCAAAAATAGTCTACCATATTTCAAGAACAATCATGTCAAACGATGTGTCATTAGAATTGTAGTAAACAAATATTATGCTTAGAATACTTAAATATCTTTGTGCTGCTGTGAATGATCATTTATATGTCGCAATAAATGATGTGTTTTCCCACGCTTTAAATAACACGAAGATACAAAGGGATTTATATTGATTCAATTATTTATTTACAAAAACGTAAGGTATTGACACTAGAATACATTCAAACATTCCCTTTTCCAGATTTAAAGAAACCAGTTCAACATAATTATAAGGAAACATTGTTTTATTTGATAGTAATCACAATTACGCGAATATTTTGAATATGTAGATAACTATGATAATTATGTTATAGGCTAGGAATAAGTGTAATCTTATAAATTTAAAATAAACATTTAAACACATAAGAATTTCTGTTGAGTTTCTCTTATGTGTTTAATTGTTTACTTTAAATTCAATAAAACTGAAGTTTCTGTACTTTTTCAACTAACATCACGAACACATTTTGAATGTGTAAAATGAATAATTGTGTGTCATAATCTACGAAATCAATAATAAATTAAATGTTCACAATAATGTCTGCCAAAACGCAACAAAAAATCATTGTAATGTTTTGATATATGAATAAAATCAGCACTGTTATGTTACATATTGGTTTTTGAAAAAAAATCCGTTTTGAATTTGTAACGAGTTAAACGCAACAGAGAAGATAACGCAGCAACAAATTTTACAATTTTAATTAAAGAAAAACAGTTATTTACAATATTATAAAGAATTATGAAAATAAAGTTTAACTCACTATTATCCAAGAACTCGAATTTAATAAATGTCCTAAAGTTTAACTCACTGTTCGAAATTCAGTTGTCCACAACTCAGATTTAAT